CCATGTGCATTTCGTAATGCTAAATGTTTTAAATGCGGTAAGATTGGACACATTCAGTCAGTATACAAAGCTACTGTTCATTTTGCTTCAAGTATGACTAGATCTTGTAACTTAGATCCCACTAATTCAGCTGTTCCTAATGATCATTTATCTTTGTCTACCATCTCGAAAGGTAATGATCATATTCAAAAGCGATTATAAACATAGCTTGGTTCATGTCGTGACTTTATTGTAGGCACAGGCGGTATAGAGTCCATTATTTCATTCAAGAACTTGAAATCTTTAGATCCTAACGTTGTGGTACGACCCATTGAAGTATCAATATTGGGGATTACTGGACACAGACTGCCCATACGAGGATGTTGTGAATTGCTAATAAGAGATGATAATTCTTCATACATATCTTGTGAATTTTTAGTTAGCGAAACAGGACTGTCCATACCGTGTTTAAGGAATTTGAAAAGGCTTAAAGTGGAGCTGTCTTTCCCAGCTTCTAAAGTAAATTCTGATGCTTTACTCAAAGATTTGATAGCTACGTGTGCTAAGTGCAGTAGAGGTATGAAAATTCAGCCTATAAAACGTCAAATACACGGTGATCCAGTATGTAAGACATTAAACGATTTGTGTGTGAAAGGCATAATTGAACCAATTCAGTCTTCAGCATGGGGTACTCCTATCGTTACGCCACTGAAGTCGGACGGCAAGAGCCTTAGAATTTGTGGTGACTATAGATTAACTCTGAACTCCCATTTGTTGAAGCAAACGTGCACGACGGTAGAGGCTGAAGATATTCTAAATCGACTTCATGGTTCTAAAGTGTTCTCAAAAGTTGACCTAAAAGATGCTTATCTTCAAATTCCTTTAGATGAATCTTCATCTATTTTGACGACAATTAACACTCCTTTTGGTCTGTTCAAATACAATTTCCTTCCATTTGGTCTAAGTTGTTCTCCAGCCATATTTCACGAAGTTATGAATAAAGTAGTTAGTGATCTTGAAGGTTTTGAAGTTTATCAAGATGATCTCATTGTTCATGGTTCTAATAAGGTAGTTCATGACCAGAGACTTATTGCTTTATTGCGTCGTTTAGTTAAGAAGAATATTACAGTGAATCCAAATAAGTGTTCATTTTGTGTATCTAGTTTTGAATGCCTTGGATACCTAGTTGATGGTAATGATTTTAGACCAGATATGAAACGACTAGCCCCACTGACTAATGTACCGTCTCCGAAAAATCTTACAGAATCACGTTCACTAATGTGTGCTCTTCAATACTATTCCCGTTTTATTCCTAATTTTTCTTGTCGTGCAAATTGTTTATTTAACATTTTAACATCCAATTCATTCAAATGGAGTGAGGAACAAGAGTCATGCTTACGAAGTCTACTGAAGTTTCTTCAAAGTGATGCTGTTCTTCGAACTTACTCTCCTACTGTACATTCTGTGCTTATTACTGATGCATCACCTGTGGGTATTGGCGCAGTTTTGGGGCAGGAAGGTAGACCAGTTATTTGTGCTTCACGCAAACTTACTGTTGCTGAACAAGGTTATCTATAGATTCAGTGAGAAGCATTAGCTGTGTTTTGGGCTGTTAAAAGACTTCACAAATATTTAGTCGGAAAGAAATTCACTACTGTTACTGATCATGAAGCTTTAAAGTTTGTTTATCATCCTAAAAATCTTTAGCACGTTCCTCAGCAGCTATGGTTCAGCGATGGAGTATTGCTTTGAGTGCATATGACTATACGGTTCAGCACAGAAGTGCCAAACAGATTCAACATGTTGATTACATTTCTCGACAGTCATTACAAGATAGACCTGTTAATACTTCAGACTGTTTGTTAGTGCAACCTTTACCAGTGAGACGTTCAGATCTCATTAGAGAAACTCGTAGATATTTTGGATGTATACTCAGTGCTATAAGGAAAAGTTGGAATGCTCATTTGAAACGTAGATTTCCTATCTATTTTTCAAAGCGGGATAAGCTATCTACTACTCCTGATGGTATTCTGTGTTTAAATGATGTAATGTGATTCCTCCTTCATTGCGTAAATCTGTTCTTGAAGATCTTCATAGTGGTCATTTAGGTGTTGAAAAAATGAAGTCCTTGGCAAGGCTCACATGCTGGTGGCCAGAGATAAATGCAGATATATGTCGTACGGCAAACAATTGTGAGAAATGTCATCAGTTGAAAAATCATCCTTCGAAGTGGGTGCCATGGCCAGTATCTTCTGAGGCCTGGCAGAGGATTCATGCTGACTATTGTGGCCCGTTTCTTGGTAAATACTAAGCACTAGTAGTCATTGATTCTTTTTCAAAGTGGCTTAAAGTTTTCTTCACAACTTCACCAAATTCTGATTTCACAATACAAGCATTAAGAAAGGTGTTTAGTCGAGAAGGGGTTCCCATGGTGTTGGTGACTAATAATGGCTCATATTTTGCTGCAAATGCAGTCACTACCTGGTTGGACGGTATAGGGTGCAAACATCTATTTACTGCTCCCAGACATCCATGTTCTAATGGTCAGGCAGAGAATTTTGTTGGGACATTAAAGACTGCTACTGATTCTATAGCCCCCTCAACATTTAATGAGCTGGAGAGGGGAGTAGATACCTTTCTATCGCAATATAGAAATGCCAAACATTCGGTGACGCAAGAGATTTCATCAAATCTATTTAAAGAAAGAATTCTTCGGTTGAATATGAGATGTTTGGAGTCTGCAGAAGTTACAAATTATCGTAGAAATGATCTTCGACCATCCGCGGGGATTGTGCTGGAGAATGTTGGGGAATCTATGAAGCGAATTCTAGATATCAATGACTTAAGTACACACAACCGACATGTTGATCAAATACAAATCCTGGAACCAGGTGAGTCTGTTCCAATTTCGGTTGTTAACTCTAATGCTGGTGAGTACATTCTACAGAATCCTTATCCAATACACTGTCCGACAGATCCAGAATTCATTTGAGAAGAAGACGTACAATTTATTGCAGACACCTAGACTCGAATTAAGGCTGTGGTGGATGTGGTGTTTGAATGAATTAATGATTCCTTTGTACTTGTTGAATACTTGATTTCGAATTCCAAATACAATACATTCGTGCGTGCTTGTCGAGTACTTCTTGATGCAATTGCGCTATTTCTGTGATTCTTAATTTGTACTATGATTCAAATACTCCTAATCACCATAGTTTGAACTATAAATTCTCTGCAATCTTAGATCTCGTTTAGACTGTTCGTCAGGCAATGCTACGCATTTGGCTTAAATTAATGTCGGACTTACACAAATTCAGTCTGCAACGCTGTGTTAATCGAAAAATTTAACCAACAGTACCTCGTACATAATCCAGATTCAAGCTACTGTCTACTTCATATCTTCATTACTTAGAAGCAAGAGTAACCCAAGCGAGTTTCATAATTTCATTAGATTATTTCGTACTATATTTATGATGGGTGATAACATTTCGTAGTTGCTTTCACGTGAATTAATCATATATTCTGTCGCTGCCGTCAAGTTTTAGTCGAAATCATGTACATTTATGACTTGTTAGTCGACATACTGTGGTAGAACATATTGCATGTTCATGTCCTAAGCAGACACTTTGTCGTACGTAATATGTCTCTTAACGCTAGATAATAAGCTCTTTGTATCAGCTTTTTACAAAATGGCCACGTCACCTGAACCCTCTAAACTTTTGTTACATTGGTGGTTACCATCTTAATTAATGTTTACTATACTCCTTGTATTTGCTATTATTCCACACGGTAAATCATGGCTCGATTTCTTTATTACACGACAGTCATTTTAATTCCATTTTCGGTCTATTTGTATGCAATACGGGTTTGGAAAATATCTAAACGTTCTCGAAAATTCTCCACGAGCCCAACCATAGTTTTCGCACATGTTTTTATTTATATGTCCAACTGTCACGCCAATAATACCTAAACGAACGTTTAGTGCAACTGTCAGTGTACGTAAGAACGTTTATACTTCTGTACTTACGGTTAGTCTGTTAAATATAGATATAACTAGAGGCTGTCAACGACACTGTCTGACATTCAACTTTAAATCAATGGCAGTATATACATCGACACCGATTGATAATACACTTATCACCATTACTCTTGCGGCAAACTTAACGTTTCTCATCGGAGGAACTCAATTACTTGTCAAAGCCATATATTTCAGCGCGACGTTCTTTTTATTATTTCTATGGTTAATCGTTTTACGTTCACTGAACTTCATACTAACAAATTATTACTCACCGTTTTCCCGATCAGTTTCTGCCGCCTGCTTTCCGTCTGTCTCACAACTCGACAATACCCGGGGGATTCATATTAATCGTTTGACACTCTCCGGCGCTCAACAACTCCCAACATGTTTGGCATCGATTCAAACGGCCGTTGAATCTGGTGGCGGAGTATCGTAGGGCCAGTGAAATTCCGCTGAGCCCTAGCCAAGTCACCCGGGAGTCGGGTCATTGAATATCGAGCAAATCATCGATCCTCGTCAAGATAAGGGACAACCAATGCGCGTCAGTTAATCGTACGCCATGGGCTGGCCCATGCGGTGGTTGTCTTACTTGTGCTTGTATCTACTTCAAGTAATATATATTTCTGTAATAACGTCTTCTGTGTTTTGCAGTCTTTAAAGGATCTATGGTACCTTGATACGTCAATAGGGTGGTCTACGTAAGTTGTTGACCACGAGGTGTGACTTCGACGTTAGCTGGTTCGTCACGCCATTCCCGTTTAACTTGAGTAGGCTTCCGATCATTCGACATAGACAATCTACATTGGTGATCTACAGAGCGAACACGGACAACTAGATCACGGTACTGTTACAAAAATTACTCCAGACATATTTAACAACCGTCCCGAATGTTATTCCTTATTTAAACGTTCCAAGCTACTCAGAGACTTTTGCGAGAGTCCGACAAACTGACACTTCTCAATTACCTATAGTAAGCGTTTGGAGTTTGATATCAAGTACAACGGCCGCGTACTGACTTGAATTCCAAGGTCGTGCGGATCCAAAATCGCTGTTCACATCAGTCTATTTTTGCTCAGTTAGTGACTTCTGAACTGAAGTTAGTGACTTTTTGAATTTTAAATACGCATTCCAAAAACGTCTTTAGTTTCAAAATATATTATAGACTGACTGAAAATAATATCAGTTGTGATAACTTGTTCGCATCAAGTTGTGAACCAACTGCTCAATACTTGACTGCCTGACTATGAAGTGAAAGCAAAAAAGTCACTGCTAGTTTGTTTGGGAATCTGTTTATCGGGAATATAAATGCATAGAAATAGAACTGTAGTAACTGTTGTATACTTACGTTTTCGCTTGACATCAAGTGACATTGCCACAGATGTACTTCATATCTTGCATCCAACAAGTGAGTCTGGCATGCAAAGTCAGTCTGCTTCCCTATGGCACTTCTCTCAAAGTAAATGATCACTAAGTCGTAGACACAGAGCATCTGGTCGTCAATACTCAGAATCGTAGGATAAAAGCAGTAATTGCTAATACTAATTTTGCTTTTCGTCCTATATGGTGTATACTTAATAGCTAGTAACGGTAAAATGCAAGCGGGCTGGTCTTTCCGTTTTGCATGAATTTGTTCCGTTGACTCCCGGTAGTTTTGTCATATTGATCGTAGTACACAGAGAGTACAACTTAGGACGTAATCATGTAACTTCTTGTCTGTCAATGCAGACTCCAACACATTTAGCCCTTCAGATGTGTGAGGCGTGATCTCTAATAACCAAGAACCCATGTTGCGTCTAATCTTACGTCTAATATCAACAGACTTCCTTACGCGTCCTCTAACCTGATTTGTCGATTCGATGAATCACTAACTTTCAACATCATCAGTGTTTATCTTTGTGATAACTTACGCACTTCAGGAATGTTAATAGGCCCCGATAAAATCAAACTTTTGTGTACGGTCTGTAATGTGACGGGCTTTGAATTGGATGAGTTGTGTGGTGACACAAATTTGTTCTTAGAAGAAATGAATGCTAATAGTCTACGAAGTGAATATTTACTTGAAGATAGATGAGAAATTTTTGGCGGAAATATTGACGTCAGGATATTGAACTGGACTTTTACTAACCTCAGACTCTTCATGTGTGCTTGTGTTCTGACGTTCTTTGTCCTTGTGTTTTCTGAAGTTTGTATCCTACATATAATCATCAATCTACCTATCTGACCTTCCCGAATGACTCCGTAGTATGTCATCCTGGTTAATATTGGTTGTAGAGTAGTTGAAGATGCTTTCGAATGCCGAGTTCGACTCAAAACCTACCTAAAAGTCATCTGGAGGGGGAAATGTCTTGTGTAACTACAACTAACCACAGTTGTACAGCATTCCACCAACGTTCAATCAGCTCCCACATTGATCAATCACTTGTTTTGTAATACTGATCGATTTTCTCCCAAAGCTGGTTACCACAGTGTGCCATTGGAAGCGAACAAATGATGTACTGGAATGCTAGAAGTGCTCATCCAGAGTTGTAGTTATCAGAGTAGGTTGTGTGGGTTCTGATCAACTGATGCAAAGACTAGAAGTAATACGTGTATTTTGAGATTCAATGAAACAGGTTTTACACGACATAATCGTTAAAAATCGAGCCCCTAACCATAGTCATCACCAATTTTGCTTCGTGTAACTCACAAAATGATGTATTTCATAAAACTGTTGAGATGTTGTGTATCGGGTCTGAGTTTATCATCATTCATCCCACAATGCTTTCAACATTTTAGGTCTATACTCTGAGGTGTCCCTCGTATCTCTACTTATCTATCTCATGACCACTCCAATAACATCTTGTATGAACGAATCAGAGTTTTCAGAAGTCTACCCGCCATCTGAGGATTCCTATTTATTTTTGGATGCTTTGGAGTTGGATTCTGGATTTTTGTCCGAATTGAGGCCCACTTTAACTCTTGAAGTTGGAAGCGGTAGTGGAGTTATCAGTGCATTCTTTTGCTCATCCATTTCAAAACCACTCTTCCACATATGCACCGACATATCCCTCACTGTATGCGGCTATTCAATCATTATCTTACCATTGTAGGCATGTTACGCTTCTCTACGTGTGCTAAACGTAAATGTTCCTAGTACATCGGTGACATATGATGTAATTAATTGTTCGTTAGCAACTCCCCTCTTGTCTAGACTATATAAAAGTGTGGATTTAATCATGTTTAATCCTCCCTATGTACCGACAACGTCAGACGAACACAAAGCTGCTAGTTCGACTATAGTTGCCTCATGGTCTGGTGGGCGACTGGGAAGAGAAGTAAGACTACTTTGCTGGTTTTTTGGTTCAGTTAAAAGTTTTAAACTTGTCGTTCCGAATCTTCCTGCAGGCATAAGCATATTTTTGGTGTTTTTTCGGTAAACTCAGTGTGTGTAACAATCGATTTAATTTCATCGGTCTTGAGTCAACATCACAGAAATCAATGGATATTACAGAACTTAATCCAAGTTTAGTATCTTATTTGGATGTTATGCACTGAAGTCCATTTCGAACATCTGTAGCTGTATTTAGAAAAGTCCACTCTCTGTATTAGTACTTTCTCATTATTCCTTTTGTTGATAGTTCTGTACTCTGTTATGTAATTATGTTGTATACCGAAACCGTTATTCAACATGAAAATATATTTGATTGCCTGTTAGACAGTATCTTAAGGATGGCAATGAATAAAGTAGAAGGTTCATTTTGGAGATTATATATGAAATTACCAAGTGTCGTCTTTCCCTGCATTTCGAATTTCCTATCTGTAAGCACTAATTTGCTGGCTTAAGTCACTTGCTCCTAAAACTTGTTCTGTTAATCTGAGATTAATATGATCTTTTGGAACTCTCACAAATAAATGTACTAGATGTATTAAACGCTTGCTGAAGATTTCCCCATATTCCTTTATACCATAATTTGCTTGTGGTGTGTCAAATAAAATGGTTTATATTGTTCGTCCTTCCTTCAACCCCCTTATTTGTACATTGCGTTTTCTTAACTGAATTTCAGGTGATTGACCCATTTTTAAGTCAAGCTTATAATTTGCTCTCACCGCACGGCTGCATTTACTTACTGTTATCGAAAGACAACTGTCCTGAAGAAGTACATCTTATGATGAAAAAGTTGTCTAATGGAAGAGTCCGTGCAAAAGAAATTCTTCATAGACGAGTTCATAATGAATTTTTAACTGTTTTTCGCTATAGCTGTTGATATTTATAAATAAACGAAATATAATAACTTGCATTCCATTATGAACTGTGACTTATTCACCGAAGTATAGTTATGCAGACAAACTTATCTTTCAGTGTGAATCGTCTCACAAATATAAGTTTAAATAACTGCATCTTGGAATAGCATACTGTACCAGTGGTCATTTCAAAGTTGTTTTTGACGATCCACAGTACTCCCTTATTAGCTTTAGAAAAAACTTACACATCCTTACTTTTGACATACAATCACTAGGTCACATATTATTGTGAAACTATGAAATAGTCATCACCGTACTACCAACCAGAGATGGGGCCTTTGTCATCTACATGTGTCTGGGAACCCTACATTAATAGCGTTGAAATCGTATGATATACCTTACTGCGATGAAATCGAACCATATACTAGCCCCTCACTTATATGATCTTCATAATGGCTATAGATTCTATAAAGAGTCGCTTTATCATATGGTATAGTGCCTTTCCCGTGTTCCATATTTGATCTTTCTGCTCTCATTTGACTGTCTACCATTAACTAACAATGTCAGTTGTAATGGCCTTGTATTATAATTATGCTTTTAGTCCTCAATTATCTTTTAATTTTACTGAGAGAATATAATAATTGGGTTAGTGTTTGTTTTGATCCTCTCTGGAATGTTGTTACTTTTTAGATTTAGAAACGACCGAAATGAACACAACTTGTATAAGTCAGTGCTACTTTGGATTGTGTTAGACTAGTACATTTCGGTTACCTATCACTAATATTGATGCGTTTTATGTTGTGTAGAACATGTGTAAAATGTATTCTGTGTTTACCCTTGATACATCATCATGTTAATGAGAGATATAAGTACTTGAATTGTTTCGTAAATGAGAGGACTCTGTGCGTTACTGGATGCATGAATAATGGTACATATTAGAGCTAATATTGGGTGAAATTTTCTGACAGTCGAATTTTCAGATACTCACTGACGATGATGTCCCCGCCCATAGTATCGTTTCTTCATGAATATCTCTCAATTGATTAGATCTCCACACTAAGTCCATGTCTATATTTTACTCTAAAAATATGCCCCCACGTTTTTTAGATAACTATATGATTAGATAAATCTTGTTTTAAAACAATTAGACTTTATGGAACACTCATGAATTTAACACAATGTCGTCAATACTTTTCAAGAACTACATTTTGCTAAGACATTTGTATGTAAGTGTAACGATTATAGTCAAGTGAAACATAACTTATAGTTTGTGTCTATGCTAAGTGTAATTGGTGATGTGAAAACACTAAATCAAACACTAATGCTAAAGTATTGCTTCTTCCATTACATTCTCACTTAAATCTTGTTACTGATACCCTGTATTACTAATCCAATGAGACATTTTATCCCTCCAGAACACAAACGACCACAGCGTTATTTATATCACAACGAAACAAACGGGACAGAAATGACTGGCTTTGTGATAACCTCGGTTATGAGCGGTAAACTCGGCTTCACCATTAGTTCAAAAAGTGTTAGTAGGATGCATCTATGTTGACGTTTTTTATTAGTGAAAGGTTACCTCCCTAATTGACGTACCCTTATATCTTATGTCATGTCTGCATGTATGTAGTGTAGCTAATGTTTCGATCCTTTAAAGAACTGAAACTATGATTGAAGGTAAAATTGGTAAAAAAAATCTGATAAGGATTTGTGGACACCTAATTTCCCACTAGGTGGACACGGGACAGTGTCCTCTATATGTTGAATTGATATCTCTCCTCGAGATAGAAAAGAATTATTCTTTTTACAAATTAAGAAATGTGTAGCTTAAGGTATTTAGCTTAGAAGAAAACTTGCAGCTGGTAGCTAGAAATCAGACACTAGATATACAGAATGTCCTGTTTTAATTTTTTATGAGACAAGGAACACACACGGTTAGAAGAGTTACAAAGCTTTTCACATCATAAACATGCTACTGGTTTTGGTCTTAGTAGTATCAAGGAAAGTACTGAAATGTGTTATTTGCAGTGGGATTTTAGTTATGTTGCTCTGTCTCATGAACACTTTCAAACTGTTCTGATGTAATAACTATCAAAGATTATGAAGCCTAAAAATACTTTCCATATACTAACGGAACAAAATAAGCAAACTCTTGGTCAATCTTAGCGTCACTGATAGCAAGCTTATAGTAATAAAGCTTACTGGCTAATCGTTTATGCAAGGCTTTTATCATCCTGGCCTACAGTGTACTATGGATAAACGCGGTAATGTACTCACATTTATCTTTCTATTTCCGTCACAATACTTAGTTGACTTTTCTCTCGTACTGGTAAAGTTTCTCGCTTGGAATAGGATTTGTCTAATAAGAGAAGAGATCTTCGAGTAGTAAGATTACAGAAGAACTATGTCATCAATTATGTTTCATTAGGATCTTATGTTGTTTAAAAAGATTTCCGTGGATTCAGAGAGTGCTTCTAACTCTGAAAGACTTCAGAATAACTGAGAGGATCGGTACTAGGCAATACATGTATGTCGTCGAATAACGAAAGAATATCAACATACCAAATCAAAGAGCTTACTGATTGAGAAGTATTATACGAAACCTCAGGCACGTGTAGACATTTGAAAGGTATTGGCTCTTGAATTTTCACCTCATACATTTAATTTCAATATATCAGTCGGATTACCAACCGATATGATGCGGATTGTAGTATTTGGTTCCTTATGCTAGTTTTGGTGCTTAGAAACAACGCCTTCCGAATGAATTATCATATTCTACCATGACTAGGTAGTAAATTCACTACATTGAACTGTATGAATCAAAACGAAAGAATAGTCTTGAAAGTTACTCCTTTCCTGTTGGTGATATGACCCATCACAATCTTTGAAATACTTCAGATCCGTAAAATATCCTGAATTTTATGTAAATGACATAACTCGGTAGAACACTTCTGAAACAAACAACCAGCTGTCTGCTTAAATTGAGACTACTACGAGTACTTCTGTTTCTTAAACGTTCGTTTGCTTATATATATATATATATATATATATATATATATATATATATATATATATATATATATATATATATATATATATAATATCGAAAGTTTTATTTGTTCACATTTCATATATTATTCCATAGTCTTTTGATAAGCACTAACAACTGGATTGTAGTAATCGTGATTATTCACAGACTAATCCGTGCACACATTGGAATTCCATCAGGAACCAGTAAAACAAATAATATATACAATGAGTTCAATCGCTTAAATTTGTGAATAACATATTCAAACTGTAACTTTTCTGATTTTAATAATCATGGTGATAGATTAAGACTGTAGTTGCAACATGTTTCTTTTGTGGTTAGAAAAATGTTCTTATGATAGCGAAAATGATCAGATACGGTTGTTTACTGCCACTCCGATAGACAGTTAACAATCCAATTGAACATACAGAACTTAAATAACAAAGTTCATCATACACACACATCACATATATTTGTAGAATGTTCATATACATGAAACACTATGATACGTTAGTACTAGTAATCGCTTCATTAATTTTAATGTGATGGAATATAATTCGTTCCTCATTATAGTACAGTAATTACTATCATTATCAATGTAATCATTTAAGTGTTTGAAATAATTCCTCAACTTCTTTCCTAGCCTATAAATGATTGAAGATATATATATATGTTTACAAACATGTAGTAGAAAATAATGTGGTAGACGTTATTCGAGATAATATAAACAATACATTGATTACCCTATTACATATCAACGATGAACAAACTGCAATACAGAGGACAAATGATCCCCGTAAGTTCATTTACTATAAGTGTGTGAATGCAGTCAGAAATTATGCCAAAGAAATGACTCTCCATATTTGAATCTTAGGAAATTGAGTGTGAAATCTAACTTAATCTACTACCCAAGTAGATTGAAGGACCTAAATGTGGCTATTTCCCGACATTAGGCATACAAACAGTTTTTTCAGAAATGTGTTTAGTAAAACGATTACTGAAGTCATATAATTAAAAGTGAATTGTTGTGACTTTCCAAAGCTTTTGTGTAATAATTTAATTTTCCGGCAGTTTCATTTTGTTTTGACACAAGTATATATGATCATACCTTTCAGATGGAAATAATAAACTTGTAAGGTGACAACGGTTTGGTTGAGAAAGTGCTATATTGATTGAATTCTATTCGCTTATCTCAAAGGAAACATTCTATAAGTCTATGTGTGAAATCTTCGCTTCTTGGAGTCGGTTTACATGTATGAGCAACTATTTCCATGTGTGAACTTGAGCATATCCAAGTCTAGGTCTCGACTAACAGATACAAATCTAGAGTGATTGTTGCTCATGAGGGCAATTAAAATGACTCCTAATTACACTGTGATGACTAAAACTGTGCACAGTTGAATTCATACTATTAATAAACCCGGCGTCAGTAACACCTAAGATTGGGTAAGTAAATGTTACTTCATCAATTTATTGTACATCACAGTATCTCGTACGTGCAGCCAACCGAATGTGTTATATGGGTTCATCTAGCCGTTTAGCAGATATGCTTATCAACCTCTATGATAAAGGGTTGGCTGAAACTGTTAGTGAGCCGTCCACCTAGATTTTATACTAGTTGTCACCCGCTAACAAAGCGTATTTGCATCTAATAGGTGACGTTAGTGACTGTGATACTGAATGATACTCGTTCAAATTTCATGGGCACCGTCAGTTCCCTGATGAGTCCAAATCTACATTGCTAGAAGGTTTCAACTAACAGATGACCTGGTTCAAGAGCCCCTTGGTGCTTACCTCCAACTATCGGATAATAACCACCATCCAATCCAATGCCAATACACTTAATTTAGTTGCGTCATAAATATAACTAGGTCACCAGTACATATTCATATATATATATATATATATATATATATATATATATATATATATATATATATATATATATATATGGCATTCATATACTTACCTCATCGGCTTCGACATGATGTGCAGGATAATTAAGTACTTTAAGAGCATAATCTTTCGCTTTGTCTTTTTCTCCTAGTCGTGCATAACATTTAGCCAAATGTGCCAGTGTTATTACAGATCTCATAGGAGCCACTCCATGTTTTAATTTTAAAAAAAGAATTAAATCAATGAGAATTTGTGTTATTCACTTATCGAAAAGATTATAAACATTTTTTATGTGCGCATATCTATACTCTACTTACATTCTTCACATTTCAGCATATGTTTTAATGCCTACATACAAATAATGAGTTTTTATTGGGAATTTACTCATTACATACCAATTCATAAGAGAATTCCTTCCCAGTATACTTTGTACCTTTAAAAAGTTCTGGTTTTGTACTGTACACATCTGTCATAATAAAATACCTTGTATGGATGTAAGAAAACATTTCAAGTGCAACTACTTACCATATGCCTAAACTACCCTCAGTTAAAAAGTTATTCGGATCAAGCTTTTGTGATTTCTTTAATTTCCATCGATTTTCGAATGAATAAGTAACATGTCAACTTACAATCCATATGTCATATAACTGTGAGATATTCTTGAATCTTTCTGAGAAACCTTTCAAATTACTGTGTTCATCCCATAAGATACCATACCACTGAATAGATTTGGTGAATAAATAAATGACTTATATAAATGTAATGAAATTTCAAAATACCGTTAAGGAATTAGCATGATTAGGGTTTTTCTCCATAGCCTTTTTAGCTGCATTCATCCCCTCTGAGAAATATGTTTCACAGAATGCTTTACATGGTTTATTTGTGACATAATAAACTAATAGCAAGAATAATAATTAGTATTATTAACAAAATTTCTCATCATAATGACATAAAGCAAGAACATTACCACAAAGATAACATGATTGAGCAAATCTCCATAATAATTCAACATCATCGTAATTTTTCAATGAAGCTTTGAGATAATGATAAACTTTGTGAAATTGACCTTGTGCAACTAACTTATCAGCTTCTTTAATAATATCTTCCATTGGCGTTTTATGTGTATTTTCTAAATGAGATATTCTAAAACTATGCAGAAAAATACGAATCCAAGTAATTTTAAATTATCTTTCTACTGACCAATTGTAATTAACTAATAGTTTCAAAGCTAATCAGCCAGTCACAACTCTAAAGAGAATTCCAAATCACACAATTATTTAAATATAGTAGTGATTTGATTGATTGACATTTGTTATATCAATATAATATCATACTGATACGTATATAAGGATTTCGATTAAACAGGTTAATGAGACTAACAAACTTTATACGCTGACACATTAAGTTATTTGTTTTATCAGAAATCTGACGACAGAATTTAAATCATCATCAATGAGACCATTGATTGATGGTCACGCAAAATGTAGCATACATGTTGCCGTGTCATTAAAATATATTTATAATTTAATAGAATTCGAATCTAATTTCTCTCATCCTAATTCAGTTTAATAACGTAACAAAATATGGATCAACGTAACACCAAAAAAAAGCAAAACAACCAATTAAGAAAATGACAACAAAGTTTACTATAAGCATATGAAGCACAACAGATGTATATACAGTATTACTTAAGTTGGTAAGTGGTTGGATTACATGCAATAGTCAACAATGTGTACGTTGTCACAGTCTAGCGCATTCTGGGAACTAAAAACTATGGACATGTGCGCTAGGATCATCATTCAATACTGTGCTGAAATAAAAAAATATATTTTAAATAGTCTCATTTGTTTCTGTCTTTAAATCCAACCACGCCACGGTGTAAAAATATGTATGATGACCTGTATTATTGAATGGTTTAACTTTGTTGTGAATGTGCACTGGAAACAATCCTTAAACCAACGTTGAAACTCTGTTCGTGAAAGTTCAGAATAGGAGACTGATTTGAATACAAGAAGATTTATAACCTAAACTCTAAAGTATTTACTATCGTTGTTCGTACTAATACTACTTAATATTTAACAAAATAATAATTGGCAAGATGAAGCATGTCCCTCTTGACTCTATGATTGTCTGGTGACTTAATGATCATCTGGCGCTCTATTTGAAAGGACAGTGGTATTCTTTCTCGTTGAGTTAATTAACTGTTTTGATCGTAAATTACGCATCAAAACTACTGTTTACACTTTAATTTCATCTACCCCAGTTAAAGTGATATTGTATTGAGTTTTTCGATTTTGATTCTGTGTATTTATTGCATCGAAGCATACTTGGTCGACTTTTACTTGGTTTATTTAGTTAAGGTTTGAAAATCCTTTTACATATCCTGTTTTTGTCACCGTTCTAGTTGATTCTCAAGATGGCTAGGTCTACTCATAAATGTGGACAACCATACTGCTTATTTCCCGTGGATGAAGGAATTCAATGTGATGAGTGTAACAAGTGGTTCCATAAGATGTGCACCCGACTAAGCCCCACTGCATATAAAAGGTGTTCAAAGCCCAACTCTCATTGGCTTTGTAGTTTTTGTTGCTCGAGCAAAACATTACTTATCCAGGAAGCAATTAGTCTCCTGATGTTGGCTAATAAGAAGGTTGATGAGGGCTGTACTGATAACATTGGTACTGATGGCGAAGATTGCGTTAGTGTCGTAAGTGCTATCACGGCGCAAGCCAGACATCTACCTGTGCAACCCGCAGTTAAACGTTCTCCCCCGAAACGATCAGTGAGTGACACGTCATTAAACGTTGGTGACCATATTGCTACAGCAGCAACCGGTGACACAGATAAAACAATTACTGTCCCGAGTTGTTCTAATGTAGACGTTTCGACTGATGGAAAATGGATGACGCGAAAACGCAGAAGAGTAGGAAAGATAGCTAAAACTAATGACTGTTTACTTGGTAAGTCCTTGGTGGACTCTCAGACCAATCCGCCAAAGTCCCATAGTAAAGCTTCGTCTGACATTGTTGTGAGTCATTCGTTTGACTCCCAGGACTCTGTTAAAATAAAAACTAATCGTAAGATACCAGTAGTTAAAATACAGGATCTAACGTCACGGTCGAAAGCTGTGAACACAGTTTCAAAAGAAGCTAAACCCCTCCCTAGTTTAATTATTTGGAATCTAGAGGAGTCGAAAGACAACAACCCTTTTAGAAGACATGCACATGACCTGCAGTTAGTGGAATCTGTGGTAAGGGATGTACTACCTGAAGAGGTTTCAGGGGTACATATTACAAAAGTAATACGACTTGGTAAATGGGTTGGAGGCGAGACCCAACCAGGAATAATATTGAAGGTGGTTCTCGGGGATTTTACGGAGAGATATAGTATCGAAAAACACACAAAAAACCTGTGATTCAAATATTCGTATCCAACCTGATTGGCCGCTTGAGGATCGAATCAAGTGGAAGAATGCTCTTACGGAGTTGAGGACTCGCAAATTAAATGGCGAAAATAACCTTACCATTAAGGGTTTTCGGGTAGTCAGGTCTTGGAAGCCAATGCTTCCGAGGCCTGTATGGGTAGAACGATTGATTTCCAAAACACCTTAAGTGTGTGCTACACGAACGCTCGTAGTCTTAGAAATAAAACGTCCGAGCTAAGTCTGATGGTGCAAGAATTATGTCCCGATATAATCGTTGTTACAGAAACTTGGTTCACCGTTGATATAGACTGTCCTCCTTTCATTGCTGGTTATATCTGTATCAGAAGTGATAGAGTTTCAAGTCGCAAAGGGGGAGGTATAATATTATACGTTAGGGATCACTTTCGTATACAATCAACCATATCGGAGGCTCATATCAGTGGCACATGTGAGGTTGCACGTTGTAAGATTAAATCTAGGAATGGGTTAGTGACTATAGGGGGAATATACCGTAGTCCGTCTTGTCTTGCTGATGACTTTATCCTAAGACACATCTGTTCTTGGAGTATGGCAGAATGTTGTCTCATCATTGGGGACTTCAACGCACCGCATATCAACTGGATAGAGCTTACAGCTCCAGGTAGTGGTTTCGATAGCGACCTTTTATCTACCGTTATTCAGTGTGCACTTATACAATGTATCACAAAACCGACACATATTGATTTCAATCATGATCCGTCACTGCTGGACCTCGCCCTCACCCACCACTCTGAGGATGTCTTAGATATTCAGCACCTTCCTCCACTAGTGAACAGTGATCACGTTGTAATTCACTTTAAGTTTAGGACACATGGTGTACAATTCGTATCTGCTCCACCCCGTCCCAATATTTGGCGAGCCAATATTCCGGAAATCAGAAATTGTGCTATCTCGACTGATTGGTCGGTCGACGCGGATGGATTGATCGAAGATGAATGGAATAAGTTTAAGGCTACATTCGAGTTCGTAACGTCCCCGTTTATCCCATAGTCAGCACGTAAGCTATCACATTGCCCTCCATGGATTAATAAGGAAACGCGGAAGCTGTTAAAGCGTAGGAAACATTTCTGGGACTTATTCTTGTTGACAGGTCATGCACCATTTAAGCGTGAGTACCAAAAATACCGTAATATCTGTAAGAAAACCATAGCCAAATCCCGTACCACTTACGAACGACAGTTAGTATATGATAGCCGTACTTGTCCGAAACGATTGTTTTCATATGTTAAACGGCGGACGAAACGTAGTGATGGTATTCCCCCGTTACTGTTACACGAAAATTCAGAATTACTAGCTGAATCAGATCGAGCAAAAGCTGAGAGTTTTTCATTTGATTTTATCAAAGTCTTCTCTACGTTTATTGTAACAAATACTTGTCCCACTCACACCGAGATACCAACCATTGAATCTATACAGGTGACTGAGGAAACTGTCCTTCAGTTGATAACTAACCTCAAACCTGGTAAGATACCGGGCCCTGACGGGTTACATCCACGGTTGCTGTCATCTCTTGCGGACATTATTTCAAAACCGCTTGCGACACTCTTCAACATGTCCCTCTCATTCGCTCAACTCCTTAGAGATTGGAAGGACGCTATAGTTAGTCCTATATTTAAGGACGGTCAGCGACAGATAGTACCTAACTACCGGCCTGTCAGTCTAACTAGCATAGTCGTTAAGTTACTCGAAAAGATAATTCGGGTTAGGTTGCTAAGCCACATAGATTTACACAATCTGTTAGCTCCTGAGCAACACGGATTTCGTAACAAGCGTTCATGCTTGACTAACTTGCTTATTGTGAGGGAGGATTGGACAGCAGCCCTAGATAACGGTCTGTCTGTCGACGTGATATTCATAGATTTTAGCAAAGCGTTTGACAAGGTTTCACACGTAGGTCTTATGCAGAAGCTCACGAGCTTCGGAATAATAGGTACTGTACATGAGTGGATAGGAAATTTCTTATGTGACCGCAGACAGAGAGTTAGGGTCAATGGAACGCTATCCGATTGGAAGCCGGTCAAAAGTGGTGTACCCCAAGGCACCATCTTAGGCCCTCTGCTCTTCCTTCTCTACGTTAATGAGTTACCGCTGTTACTTAGGTCGTCGACATTATTGTTTGCGGATGATGTAAAAATCTGGAGAACAATAAGAAGTGCGGCTGATCATGTGGATCTTCAGGCTGACTTAGACGATTTAGTTAGATGGGCTCGAGAGTGGGGCTTAGAAATCAATGTTAGGAAGAAAGTACTAATGCACATCGGTCACGGTAATAGTTACCGTTACACTATTGAGGGTAAACCTCTTCCATGCGTTCAAGAGCATAAAGACTTAGGAGTAATATTAAGTCATGATTTAAAAGCAACTACGCATTGCAAAGCAGCCGCTGTCAAAGGTTTTCGTGCGTTATGGTCACTTCGCCGAGCGTTCAAAACTTTTGACGAGGAAACGTTTCGAATTTTATATCCCATATATGTTAGACCACATTTAGAGTACTGTATCCAATCAGCTAGCCCGTGTCTGGTAAAGGATACTAACTCCCTTGAGCGTGTCCAGCGTATGGGAACGAAATTAGTGAAGGGTCTTTCTAGACTCCCTTACGATGAGCGTTTAAAACGCCTAAACCTTTTCTCCTTGTCGTATCGTAGGACACGAGGTGACCTTATACTGGCATTTCGTATCTTTAATTATGATTTGGGTGTTAATATGTCTTATCTTTTTGCTCCCTCCAGCACTAATAATCTCCGAGGTCATAGCAAGAAGGTTCATAAACCACGATCTAATAAACTTAAAGTGGGGTCCCGTTTTTCTCATCGAGTAGTCAATGATTGGAACGCCTTACCCGAACAAGTGGTATCAGCCCCATCAGTGAATACTTTCAA